ACGCGGGTTTTAAGTAACCTACTCCACGAGTCGGGATCCCGACTCGGCGAGTAGGACTGTCTGGATGAAACCCTAATATTAGGGTTTGCACCCTATATAAGCAACTTATCTTTCCTCAACCCAGCCCCCATCGTCCCTCTCACTTCCAGGAAGCCTTATCTCGAAACCCTAGAGTTTGTTGAGTGTTATTGAGCCATTTTTGAGTATTTAGAGTTGTTTGAAGCTTGTAGGAAGAAGTGGAAGCTTAGGGGTTCTTGAAGAAGCAAGTGGATCCAGATATTTTGCTCCATTTCCAGTTCATTCAAGGTAAAAAGCTTGAACCTTGACTTATCATTTGATAGATCTTCTTTAAGACTTGGATCTTGCCATTTTTGGGACATTTCTAAGCCACCTTTGGGTTTGGATCATTTTGAGGAGTGCTAGCTTCAGATTTGGAACCATTGAGGGTTCCCATGGCATAAAGGTGCCAACTTTATGGCCATGGGAAGCCCATGCATCTTATAAACCCCATTTTATAGCCTTTTGAGCCAAAAAACCCATGCATGGACATCAAGTTCGTAGCTTTACGTATAAAATGGACCCTAGGAGGTCAGATCTATGATTTGGATGCATTAAGACCCACTGAGATTGACTGTATAGTTTTGGACAAAGAGGGACTCGGCGAGTCGAGTCATATTTCCTAACAAATCCTTCTGTTGATGGACCAGATTCTAAGATAGAAGAACATTCAGTTTTCTAGGCTCATTATGGACCTGGAAATCATGGAACTCGGCGAGTGTATGAGCGGACTCGGCGAGTTCAAGGCAATGTCCCAACCACATGATGACAGACTCGACGAGTTCAAGGATGAACTCAACGAGTCAGTTGAAGGAGGTCATGATGTTTTGTTGAAGGAGAACTCGTCGAGCTCTTGCTAGACTCTACGAGTAGGGACGAGGTTGTAGCATTTTGTGGACGTGGGGACTCGACGAGTTGGTAGACCAACTCGGTGAGTCAAGTCAACCAGATGTTGACTTTGACCAAAGTTGACTTTGACTAGGGTTTTGACCTTGACTTCGACTTGGAATTGAGTTGACCCTTGTAAGGGTTATGAGTATGAAATGGTAATTTAGAAAGTATGTTGTGTAGGGATTGAGGAGTTGAGAAGAGTTGATTTCCATACCGAGGAGAGTTCGGACACTACACGACATGGAGGTGAGTTACCTTCCAGTAGAAGTGGGTCTACGGCCGCAATGACGACCACTAGTAGGGATTGTTTGTCAAGTAGCTGTCTTTGTGATAATTACTTGGGTTTACCACTATCTAATATGTTCTATATGCTAGTATGATATGATATTAGGTGATAGTGGTAGTAGGGGGAATAGTCCCCATGTTACGGTCGTAAGGACCGAAGGGGTAGGTTTGTCACGCCGGTATGCCTGACAATATGATTATGTTATATATGTATGATGTGGTAGTAGTGGGGGTGAAATAGTCCCCATAACCGGTTGAGAAAAACCGGAGGGGTAGGTCGGACACCCCAGTATGTCTGACAGGGGTAGGTTAGGCACCCCAGTATGCCTAGCAGGGTAGGTCGGGCACCCATATATGCCTGATAGTATGTTATTGTATGGTATGTGGTATGATGGGGGAACTCACTAAGCTTTGTACTTACAGTTTATAGTTTTGTTTCAGGTACCTCCTCATCGAAGGGGAAGGAGCCGGCACGGTAGTAGCGCATCGCACACACTCGATTTCCGCACCATGACGTTCTTGGGATTGTACTCTGACATATTCATTATTTCATGACATATTTTTAAGACATTTGTCTCATGGGTTATGAGTTGTTATGATATTGATGTTGCTTTTCAGTAAACAGTTTTAATAAATTACTTAATCAAAAACGAAATTTTTGGTATGGTCTTGAAAACCGGGATGTTATAAGTTGGTATCAGAGCCTTGGTTTGAGGGATTCGGACACACCTTCGGGGGTGTCTGGACTCAAATCGAGGGTTTGAAAGATTTTTATAACGAAATAATTTTTCCAAGATTTAAAATAAGGAGTTTTGAGAAAGAACAAGGTGTGTGATGCGTGCGACCAGCCGAGCTCAAGTAAGTTTTTCCCAAGATACCCATACATGTTATGCTATGATGTGATATGATTATGAGAATCGCATGATAGATTAGGGCTAAGGATCTAGGAATGAAGCCTTATATGCTTGTTTCCCTTGTATGTGAACTACATGCTAGATTAGGGCTAAGGATCTAAGAAGATGCCTTATGTTCATGCTATATGTGCCTATTGAATTATATGCTAGAGCTCATTAATCAGTAATATGATGGCCTGAATAGGATATGATTAGTATGGTTACTCAATGCTCGAATGCTGCTTGCTTTGTGCTTTTAGGAGTTCTAGTTATCTTTAGCTAACTAGTAAACGAATACGCTAAGTTACATATTGCGAGGATGAAATAATTTCAGAAGGTTAGGTCTAGCCCTACTGCGCAGCTCTTGTTTGAGTCCAACCGTTCTAGGGTAGGACCTCTCATTTGAAGAATTATTTGGTCTTAGTAATATGTAATGGTATTCGCAAGCTAGTTAGGTAAAGGTAGCAGGGGTTCCTTATGCAGCTGATGGCGGAGAGTAGGTCGGAGAATTACCCTAGGGTAAGCCTAGGATGAGATTAGTGCAGAGAGCAGTAGTAGTGGAAGGGACTTGGTAAAGTCAAGGCAATCCTTGAGGAAAGTACGGATAGATGTGGAAGGTAGTATGGGCCCGTACTGCTGAAAGCAGAGGATCCGTACTCGAGTCGAGGAAGGCCGAGATGGAACCAAAGAACTTGTAGAGTGTGAGATCTCTCAAGGTTATGTATGACCCTGAAAATTATGTGTTTTGTTTCAGAATGGTGATGATTACACGACATGGAGGAGGAGGTCCAGGGACAAGATCAAGCTCAGGATCAGGTTCGGGATCAGGAGCCGAGCCAGTCGATGAGGGACTACGTGAGTTCATTGCTTCTGAGATCACTAGAGGCATCCTTGATTCGACCCCAGTGATTTTCGGGTCAATCAAGGAGGGGATTATTGAGCTGATGGAGGATCGCCTCAGGGCGTTTAGGAGTGACTGGGCAGCTAGCCAGTCAGGGTCGCACACACTGTCCTTTAAGGTCTTCAGGGGATGCGGTGCGCCCACTACTAGAAAAACAGCCTTTTACGACGCGCAATTCGTGTCGTAAAACGCTCAGACAACACGCAAATGCGTCTCAAGAAAGGCCCCGTCATAACGAGACACGACACGCTTTTGCGTGTCGTAACCTTACGACACGCATTTACGACGCGCAATGCGTGTCAAGGAAGACCCTGTCATAAAGAAGATGACACACATTCGCGTGTCATATAACGACGCACATTTACGACTTGCATTGCGTATCATTAAAGCTCATGTCATAAAGAAATACGACACACATTTTTGCGTGTCATAAAGTTTAAATGTTTAAAAATCATATATATTTTTTTGTAAATTTACTAATTTTCAAATTACATCACATTTAATGTCTCATAATATAAAATAAAATTTCATACACAAAAAATAAAATAAATTGCACAAATTATAATGTCATACAAATAATCATTCAAATGTTAAACAAAAATAATACATTACTAACATGGGTTATACATTCCTATAAAACTAACAACCCTCGGTGACCTTGATCTAGATCGAGGTCGACTTGGATCGATGGCGACGATTGGATTTTAGATACACAACATGATTACTGACCTAAGACCTTGTGTAACCACCACACATTTTAGTGTCTCAAGGGCTAGTATACTTCCTCCTTGCCATCCAATAGCTTTCATTAACAATGGTAAAAAAACTCACATGGGCAGTGGGATGGCTCATTCTATCCAGTAACTCCTGGAGTAACTTATGATGGCATTCTTAGAGGCGAGACTTCTATAGTTCTATCAAAGCAGCAGAAAGGAAAGACTTTGTGTTTTCTTGTAAATCTGACTGACTCTCTACAAGAATCAAGAATCACAAAAGTGTGAGATGAGTGAAAAGTTAATGGACACAAGAAGTTATCTAATATTGAAAAAAAAATAAGAATAATAATTTAAGATGCTAAACTCACCAACAACTACTTTTGTCAAACCAGGAAGATCGACCAGGGGTAAGTTCACAACTGTCAACATCATACATTATCAAGTGAGTTAACTGTTAATAAGTAAATAACTTAAAGTTAATAATACTATATTTAAGTAAAAATTCAAATATCTCACCATTAGGAGAATAGATACTGAGATATATAGGAACTGATGAAATCTGTTTGCTTCGTCCTGTCTCACGATCAGTCTCATCAGAGATTTCCTTCCTCACAGTAGCTGCACAAGAAAAACAATGAAAATATGTTTATTGATTATACGAATCTTCAAGAATGTATGCCCTGAGAAAGCAGTGACATGAGTTCTTGCAGTTTGACCAAACTACGGGGATTTACATATACTTACTAGTGCCTAAAATCGAAAGCAACGCCATATGAGGAAAAATTTGAGCCATATGAAGTTTAGGACCTGTATCGGAAGTAACGCCATACTCCCAACATGACTTGAAGGATTGAGGTTCTGTTTGTTTGTTGTTCCAAAAAAATCCTTTATTCTTAATAGGAGTAATTCAAACGAGACTTCTGATGTAGCCTGTTTGAGAAATGAGAATAACATCGATTAGGATGTATAATAAGGGTATTTTTGTCTTTTAATGTTTCACCAAGATAAATTCTTACCAGGATCATCAAACACGAGGAGATGAATATGGACTCCGCATGTTCAACAAAAGAGCTCCAAAGGTGAGCTGAAGATCTGCTAGGGCCTTTTGTCTAGACTGCAGAACAGAAAACTATAATTAGCTTGTTAAAACTTACAAATTATAAAAAATCGTATAAAAGTCAAGATTTTTTTATATAAATAGAAACAATATTATATGTTATAACAATAATAATGTAAGCTTATGGATTGGTTTGTAGCCTATCTTTCATAATAATGAGTGTATCTTTCTAAAGAGTTTTTAGCCATCTCTCTTCGTTTCTCCGTGTCATCATACTGCAGACAACAAAATACACAATAGTTATTATTTAATAACTTCAAATGTGTAAAAGATTTATTAAATGATATATATAAATCTTAATTTATCACCACTCCCTCTTGTTTTGCTGCCTCATAACGGTTGCATGCATAAAAACCACCTGTTCTTTCACCATGATCAGACAACGCACCAAGACAAAGCATGAAAAAAAACATATTTCACAAGATTTTATGAAAAATATATTGGAAAATAAATAATAAACTTACGAGCAGAATTCAAATTTGCAAGGCGGAGTACATGTAATATGCATACAGCCTTGGTTCTTTTCAATTGGTCGCTTGCATTTGACACATGGTTTTGAATTAGCTAATATCGTAAAAAATTAACTGTTAATATGAGTTAAAAGTGTCACAGTCAACCGTCTGTGAGCCTCCTCAGTACACTGTTAATATGAGTCAAAAGTAATGAATATTTATTTTGTTTTTCATTTAAAAAATAAAAATAATGAAGCTTACATTCCAGCAAAAGCTATATGAGCAACCACAGGTAACATCAAATGTTCCACCACCAACATTGAAGTCCACAACATAGTCACAACACCATTTTGTCTAAAATGAAAAGAAACAAGGATAATATATTAGTGAATAAAGGGGGTAATAATAATTAATAATATGTGATGATGCTTAATTATAATAATTTATATTACTATTACCTTTCTATTGTCTTCCACAAAGGATAATATATTAGTGAATAAAGGGGGTAATAACATTTCAGTCAACATGAAGTATGTGATATCCTTCACGGATCTATAATCACCTTTTGAAACCGAACTAGCAATCAACGCCTAAAACAAAACAAAAAAAATGGTTAAGTCAACTATCTGTCAAATAGTCAAACATTTTCCTTAAACTATTTGTTAAGTCAACATTTGGTTAATTTATACCTGACCAGATGCTGCCAATGCATCTATAATAAGAGAAACAAACAACCAAACTTGCAAACATATCTGATGAGCAGCCATGACTATAGGACCTTGTCTAGCAACCATTCATGTTGCTAAGGTTGTTTTTGTAAGTACTGCAAAATAAATAAATAAATGCAAATTCAAAAGTGAAAAATAATAAAACAAACAATTTACTCACCAGATTTCATATATCAATTGAAATTTAGTGCTCCTGGGAAAAGCAATCCCCAAACCTACACTGAGGGTAACTCAAATAAGCCAGATTCTGGCTTCCAAGATGATGGGACTAGAGCAGTAGATGCCACTTGTTGGCTGTTTGGAGCAGAATAAGCATTGTCAACAACAGGAACAGGAGACACCAGATTGGGTGCACTTGTATAATATACATTTTTTGTCCCAGGAGCACATGTGACTTCAGTTTGGCTATAATAATTTGTCCATTGTTTATTATAATCTTGTTGATATTGTACAGATGCCACAGGAGTATTATTTTTAGCAGTATAAGCAACATTAGAATTTGTAGTGTAGTTTGGACATTGATGAACATAACCTATTGAGGGTATGATTGATTTGGCTGCTGTTGCTGATAGCTACTACTAGAGTAACCTGCATATCCTATGTTTCTATATCCATATGAATCATTGTTCGGGTATCTAGCAGTTGCAGTTGGAGTTGCATAGTTAGCATAGTCTAAATTAGCTGCTCCAGAACTTGAAACAGTGCCAGCAAATGCCGCACTCAATCCATCTTGAAGGTTTCTTGATTGAGGTTCTGAATGGTGATCATGGCTAAAGATGGCACTGGGATCAGTTTTGTTCCCTGTGGAATCGCTAACAGCTCCATACATGATCCATGATGCAGATTCAGGGGCGGAAGATGAGGCATAATATGATTCTGCTTGTCCATGGCTTGAATCAACATTGTGATGCTTAAAAATCGAAAGAATCAAAAATGGTTTTAGTTGAAATGCACCATTATTAAAAACCAATGAATGACTAGCAAAAGAATTTGAATATCATCAATAGGCATTGATTAGTGTTATGTAAACATGCTAAAGTATTGTTTCTGTAGGTGTCTTAATGCCTACCTCAAGTGAATTCGGGTCCAGGGTGGTTATGGTGTCCGTAACTCCTTGATTCATCATAGCATCAAAAGCGTCCTCATGTTAAAGAAAAAAACAAATATTAGCTTAAAGCCTTAAACCTGGAATTTTCATGAATCTACAAATGAACCCAAGAGATACACTTATAATCAACAATAACCAATAAAAGCAAAAACCCTAACTAATTCACTGGAAACAACAAATCAACCTTACGAATATCTAGAGTCAATCGCGAGCTTGTAATGCAAAACACCTTGTTGCCGACGTCTGTGTTGATTCGAGTAGATGATTATAAACAAAAACAATAAATTTTAAACGGGTATTATAGAGATTTGTATGTTCGTAGAGATTTAAGAATTAAGGAAAGATCGAAGAGAGAGAGAGATAAAGGGGGATTAGTGAGGAGATTCAACCGGGTGTCTACGTTAGGTCCAACTTAGGGTTCCCGAATGCTGTGTGGAAGTGGGTTAAATTCAGAGGTTTGGTTGCAACGAGTAATTTCTTTTTTCAATTATTCTAGAGATACTTATTTAGGCAAGGAGGTTATAATAAGAACCTGTTTGTTTTCAACCTTAGTTCTAGAAATTGTCGATTTCTTGTCCCTGTGAGCGCAAAGGCTTTAATTTCTAGTGAGAAATGGAGGATGTGGATTTTCTTCGCTGCCATTACTGGCTGAGTTTTTCCATTGAAGTTGTTGTTGCATGCTTTTGGTAAGGGTGAGTAGAGAAAATTATATACATAAATCCAGCGATGGCGTGCCTGTTGTGTTGATCGATGTCAACGAATGGCGAGGAATCGGTGGCGGCGGTCGGAGTGCAAGGGAAAGAAGCAAGCAACACTCAATGTAGGGAGGCAGAGGAAGAGCGGCGAAGATTTTTGTGGTAAAATAACACACCCAGACCTAAAGAGGGGAAACAAGGAAGGAAGGCGGGTTTCCTAATTTTTTTGATTTCCTTTTTCCCGCTGATAGTTGCTGAAGAGCGCGTTTGTAAAATTATAAAGCGACAATTCTAGACGATACGCGTTTAACATAAGCGCCCTCCGTGTTTTTTTTGTGAGACACTAATTTTAGGGCACGCAAAAATGCGTGTCCTAAATTCTTCAAATTTCTAAAGATCTGACATTATTTTTAGGGCACGCCCTTTTGCGTATCATTAATCAGAGCGTGTCGTAAAAAGCGCGTCATTAAAGGTCTTTTTTCTAGTAGTGGCCAGACTTCCACGGGGTGAAGGACCGCATTGTTTCTAGGAGATGGATTGCAGACATGGAGTCTGCTCAGTTGACTAGCTCCTGTCTGGAGGGGTTGAAGGTCCGGTATGCTGCTGGATGTTTGAGGGACAGGGCTAGGGATTGGTGGGAGTCAGTTGGTGATTCTTTGGGAGCCTCAACTGTTGAGGCGATGACCTGGTCGGACTTTGTGACTAGGTTTAGGGATGAGTTTGTACCGGCCGTGGAGCTTCAGCAGCTGGCCAGGGAGTTTCTTGATATGAGACAGACGACAGAGACGGTGGCGGAGATTACCGCCAAGTTCAGAGAGAGGGCTTTACCGGTGCCCCAGTATGCAAGATATGAGGATATGCGGAGGATCCTCTATCATGATATGTTGAGGGCTGATATCCGGGAGCATGTCAGCTACTCATCATGCCCGGCCCTGGATTCTATGATTGCCAGGGAAAGGGAGAGGGAGATCGACTTGGAGCACATCAGGAAAAGGAAGGAACAGGAGGGACATGTGACTGGGGTTTCGGGGAAGAAACCCAAGGGATTCAACTCTAAGTCGAAGGGCCGTCAGGGTCGGAGCCGCTGTGGGAAGCGCAACAAGCCGCATGAGGGGGCTTGCAGATTGGGATTATCAGGCTGCTATAAGTGCGGCAAGACGGGGCACTACATCAAGGATTATACAGCCCCTACCCCCATCATTTCAACATCTGAGTTGCTGTGTTTTCACTGCAACCAACGAGGTCATAAAAAGGCCAACTGCCCGAGATTGACAGCAACAGCAGCGCCAGTGGCGGCGCCAGCTCCAGCGACCCTGCGGATCACTGATGGCCGGCAGGGAAAGTTGGAGGATCCAGTGGTGAGGAGCCGAGCCTTCCAGTTGACTACCGAGGAGGCACGCGCCGCACCCGATGTGGTGACGGGCATGTTTTCTTCTCCCTAGCTTTTATTATATGATGTCTATGATGTTTATGTGTTATGTTATGTGTTTTGTTTAGGATCGTTCCATGTCAACGGTATTCCAGTCCAGGTGTTGTTCGATTTGGGTGCTACCCGATCATTTGTCTCTCTTGCGCTTAGCATGAAGTTTCCTGAGTCTTCGGGCATGTTGGATTGCCCACTAGAGGTCGAGATTGCTGACGACCGATCAGTTCGAGCATCAGAGGTTTTCATAGATTGTGTGTTGAGATTGTTCGAGGAGCGCTATCTGGTAGACTTGGTTCCCATACCATTGCGTGGGAACAAGGTCATCATCGATATGGATTGGTTGAGCCCTAGTGGGGCTGTGATTGACTGCACGCAGCAGTTGGTACGTGTCAGGACCCAAAGTGGGGGAGAGCTGGTGATTCAGGGCGAGAGGCCACATCATGGACCAGCTTTATGCTCAGCAGCGAGGGCTAGGCACTACCTTCAGCAGGGTTGCGCCGGATATGTCGCCTACGTCATGGATACCCGAGAGGAGGGTAAGGCGACTGTGAGTGATGTGTCGGTGGTGCGAGAGTACCCGGATGTGTTTCCAGAGGAGTTGCCTGGGATACCTCTAGAGAGACATGTGGAGTTTAGGATCGACCAGGTTCCTGGTGCGGTTCCGATAGCCAAGACACAGTATCGGTTGGCTCCTCCCGAGATGCAGGATTTGTCTACACAGCTGCAGGAGATGTTAGACAAGGGATTCATCAAACCAAATAATTCACCCTGGGGAGCCGTGATCCTGTTCGTGAAGAAGAAGGACGGGTCGCATCAGATGTGTATAGATTACCGGGAGCTGAACAAGGTAACAGTGAAGAACCATTACCCACTCCTGATGATTGATGATCTCTTTGACCAGCTACAGGGGGCATCTTGGTTTTTCAATATAGATTTACGTTCAGGCTACCATTAGGTGAGGGTCAAAGACGAGGATGTACAGAAGACTGCGTTCCGGACTCGCTATGGCCACTACGAGTTCGTGGTGATGCCCTTTGGGCTCACCAATGCTCCTGCCGCGTTCATGGACCTCATGAACTGCGTATGCAGGTCGATGCTAGATTGGTCTGTGATAGTTTTCATCGAAGACATATTGGTTTATTCTAAGACGCAGGAGCAGCACAAGGAGCACTTGCGAGAGGTGTTGGATACCTTGAGGAGGGAGAGCTTGTACGCCAAGTTCTCTAAGTGTGAGTTCTGGTTGCGCGAGGTGCAGTTTCTTAGGCACCTTGTCAACCAGAATGGTATTTTGGTTGACCCGACCAAAGTAGAGGCCGTGATGAGATGGGAGGTTCCGAAGTCTCCATCTGAGATTCGGAGTTTCCTGGGATTGGCGGGCTATTATCGGAGATTTATTCAGGATTTCTCCAAGATATCCGTACCCCTGACCTGGCTGACGAAGAAAGCTGTTGTTTTTTGCTGGGGGCCCGAGCAGCAGGAAACGTTTGAGACATTGAGATAGAAGGTATGTGAGGCGCCGATCCTCTCCCTGCCCGAGGGCGTGGAGGATTTTGTGGTATATTGCGATGCGTCCATCTCAGGGTTGGGCGCGGTATTGATGCATAGAGGACATGTTATCGCTTACGCATCGAGGCAGCTGAAGCCTCATGAGGCGAACTACCCGACGTACGATGTGGAGTTGGGGGCGGTTGTCTTCGCCCTCAAGATTTGGCAACATTACCTCTATGGGGTCCGTTGTACCATTTACACGGATCACAAGAGTCTGAGATACCTCATGGACCAACCGAATTTGAACATGAGGCAATGTCGGTGGCTTGATGTGGTGAAGGATTACGATTGTGAGATCGTCTACCACCCAGGGAAGGCCAATGTGGTGGCCAATGCTCTTAGCCGCAAGGCTACCCCAATCAGAGATGTTTGCTTGCGGATGACAGTGGTGACTCCGCTTCCAGAGCAGATTCAAGAGGCCCAGCAGGAGGCTATGAAGGAGGAACATCGGAAGAGCGAGCGTATTATGGGACAGGTTTCCTCCTTCGACTACGATAGCCGCGGGTTGTTGACGCTACATCGTAGGGTGTGGGTTCCCTATCATTGGGGTGTGCGCCAGGTTCTTATGGAGGAGGCGTACAAATCTAGGTTTTCTATTCATCCCGGGGCGACGAAGATGTATAGAGATCTTCGCCCTGATTACTGGTGGCCCTGCATGAAGCAGGATGTAGCATGGTATGTAGAGTGTTGCTTGACCTGCAGGAAGGTCAAGGCCGAGCACTAGAGGCCACACGACAAGATGCAGCCGCTAGATATTCCCATGTGGAAATGGGAAGATATTACCATGGATTTCATCACCAAACTTCCCAGGACCGTGCGGGGAGTGGATTCCATATGGGTAATCATGGATCGGTTGACCAAGAGTGCCCATTTCATACCGATCCAGGAGAGCATTTCAGCCGAGAAGCTGGCTGATATTTACACCCGAGAGGTAGGAGCCCGACACGGAGTGCCAGTCTCCGTGATTTCCGACAGAGATGTGCGGTTCACTTCCAGATTCTGGAAGGAATTCCACGACGAGTTGGGTACTCGTCTACACTTTAGCACCGCTT